ATTATTGTTCTATGATAACTAATGCAAGGGGAAAAACGAGAGTCCTCATCAATACAAAGGCTTTTTATGTATTTAAATACATTTGTGTGTTAGTTGTTAAACTGTGTATTCTTTACATTTAATTAGTTATTTTTCTTACATTCTAGGGCATATGGATAAAATCCTTGAAATTACCTTGTCGTCAGATAGAACTGTTGTAGCTAGTGCTGGAGCTGACGAAACCATTAAATTGTGGAAATGTTTCGGTTCCAAAACAAAATCAAGGAAAAAACTTCCTTGTGGTAAATTGAAAACAGATCTTACTCTTTCACATGCAATAAGGTGAGAGGGACATGTTGGGTTGTTTGTGGAGGTATTTAATTGGAAATGTAATTTACATGAATTCATCTAGATTTAGTAATTACTAACATTTTACTGCTAGAACATGCACATTACTAAACATGCCAAGTTTCTACGTGTGTTACACATAATTGGTAAATATTTTACTTTGTGATTGGCTCAAGATGGTCATATAAAAACTACATTTATTTTGATTGTTGGTAGTCATTAATCAATTTGCACAATTTTTGTACATTTATATTATCTAACTGCATCTGCTTGTTGTTTTTAACCACCAAACTAAAATAGTTTTTATAACTTTGTAGGGGTTTGTATGAAGGTAACTGTAGATTTATAGAACAGTATTGAAGTTCCTGGTTTAAACCTTATTCCCAAAATAAAATTGTAAAGATTTGTAAGCAAATTTATTTACCTTTATGAATTGCGTAGCAAGCACAATTTCAACATGGAGTTTACTTCCTAACCAAAGGAAAATCCACAAATTGTTACATTGTTTAACAATGTAATTGGATTAGTTTCTCAGATATTAAAATATGTTGTCCTTGTGCTTTTTTTTAAGCTATCAATAAATGTTGTAATTCATGCCAAGAACTATTTATTGTAACATATACTAGTAGATTGTCTTATCTGAAAAACATTACATGAACGAGAAAATTTAAAGTAAAAACTGACCTTACATATTTTTTGTCATACATAAACAGCTTGGAATGTGAAACAAAAAAAGACTAAAACTTAAAGCAGCATTCACCCAGACTCCTCTTGCCTTAGACATTATCAACTTTTCTCGTGAAAAATGCAAAGAATAGTAGGTAGTCATTTTTTTGATATTTTAGTGGATGCAGAAATGGTGAAATTTTTCATCATGATGTTCGAGCTCAAAATCACAGAGTTGGAATCCTACAGGGCCACAGAAAGGAAGTTTGTGGACTGGCTTGGTCACCAAATGGATATTACATAGCCAGTAGTGGAGAAGATGGCAAAGTGAATGTTTGGCAATCCTCAATGTCCAGATGTCCTGTCCATACATTTACTAATCATGCTGCAGCAGTCAAGGTAAAAAACTGATACAACTTGGAAGAATTTCATACTTAGAAGTGAAATTCACTCTTTAAATTAAAATGAATACTATTTCGTTCTATTAAATAAAATTATAAAACAATATCCAAACAAAAATTTTATCTGATTATTGAACTTAATATTGTAATGTAAAACACCAAGCAAATAGATATTTTACAGCTAATTAAATATGAACCTATTATGCTAGCTATCAATTTGTAGTGAAAGATTTACATGTCGATGATAGAGATATAGCCAGTCACGATTTAAGGAAGGTTTTGAAAGTAATTTATGTAACCCTAAACCAGACTTTAAATTGGAACTGAGATAAGGAAAAGAGGAATATAACTTCTGATTCAGAAATTGGGGAGGAGGGGGGTGGAGTTATCTTAGGGAAATAAACTGAGTATATTCAAGAAAAAAACATAATTAAACTAGTTAACATTTCTTGGGTAATAATGTTTTGACAAGAGATAAACTCTTACTACACCCAAGAAAACATTTAATTTAACTAGTGAACATTTCTTGAGTAAGAATGTTTTGACTAGAAACAAACTCACTATACCAAAAAAACTTTAATTAAACTATTTATTCAGTGTAAGAGACTTTCTTATTCTACTTCACAATATCAGTGTTACCATCTGTTAATAAACTGTAATGTATTCCAACTTTCTGTTATAGCTTCACAATATCAGTGTTACCATCTGTTAGTAAACTGTAATGTATTCCAACTTTCTGTTATAGCTTCACAATATCAGTGTTACCATCTGTTAATAAACTGTGATGTATTCCAACTTTCTGTGATAAATATAAAATCTAAATGGTAAGTTGCAGGATTATGTTTTTCCTAGCTATCTGATTAAATACAATTAATTAAAGAAGTGGTGTACTCATAAAGACAACTCTCTATGCATAAATAGCATATAGATTTAAGATACATTTTCTGTTTTTGTAGAAAAATTTTGCACACAAAACTAACCATTTTTTCATGATGTGTCACTAGTAATGGTTGTTTGTTTAACCTCAGAATAAGCTCTTTTTTTCTTTTTCTCAAGGCTTTTGGATGGTGTCCATGGAGGGGGTCATTATTAGCTAGTGGTGGAGG